TCGTAACAACATGACCTTCATGTCCTAATGCCATCCCAAATCCAAGATGCCATCAGCCATCATATCTTTTTCGGATATGTCCATCTAGACCTATATTTCGCTCATATTATCAAGACCTCCTGAACATCCATCCATCTAAGTTCCATCAATGCATGAATCCTTTAATGTCTATGCTAAATCATTTACAAACTCCGTAATACATTTGTATTGAAAAGACCAACAACACGTGAAAATGAACTCAATCTTATAATCGACCAAATTTCAGAATTCAAACCGACAAAATTTCATAAAGTTCAATTCGAGAGGTGAAGTAAAGAAAAAGTTGACCCTATCATACACACACACATATATATATATATATATATATATTAATTTGAGAACCATACAGATCACTTTCACTGTATATTGTGGCATTGACGTGGAATCTAATAATTGAGTGGGGCCCAATTCATAAAAAGCTTACAGAAAATTCGATTGAGTTTTTCTAAAAGATACAATTTGTTTGAGACATGTTGATGCTGAAGAACAAAATTATATTCTTTTATTCACTTTAAACCCCAGCCAAGGGCTTTGTTTCCATCACAAACCAAGGGTCAAAAAGAGAATTCACACCTTGTTATTAATAAAATTAAAATTTTAATTTATGTAAAGTATTTATTTATTTATTTTCATATATTAAATTAATTAAAACTATAAGAGACTTTTATTTATTTTATGTGCAAAAAAGATTAATTAAGACTGAAATTCTCAGCCCTTTATGTATGAATATATTCTCTCATAATTAATTAATTATGTTAATTGGGAATTAAAGCTACTTATTATTTCTTAATCTGAACACGGCCTGTTTGGGGACCCAAAACCTGCCCTTTTGCTACCTTTTGGAAGGATCCAAAACAACCCAAAAGGTTTTACATGGTAACATCAAAGATTCTTTTTGTTCGGCGACCGAATCATGTACGTACAAGATGACGCTTTAAATCGTGTTTATAAGATTATGCTTAGATTGATACGGGTTTTTTTTTTTTTTTTTTTTACCAGTTTCAAATTTCAACTCTACTTACAAGACAAGAGTTTAAATCTTGTTTGTAAGATCAGGTTCAGATTGATACCTTTTTCTTTTAGTTTTAAATTTTAACGAGCGGTTTTTGGAAGAAAATTAAAAATAAATCATTTTTAAATAAATGGATGAAAATTGTTACGATCACTACTCTCTACGTTGGTATGATATTGTCCACTTTGAGCATAAACTCTAATTGTTTTGTTTTGGGCTTCTCGGAAGTCCACTTTGAGCATAAACTCTCATGGTTTTGTTTTGGGCTTCTCCGAAATATTGTCCACTTTGAGCATAAACTCTCATGTTTTTTTTCTCGAGACTCATGATCATTTTTAAATTAGCAGATGTGAAACTATGGTGATGGAACCTAAATAACTTAGCCGAAAATATGGCTTTACTTTCGAATTAAATATGGCAGTAAAACTGGAATTTGTGCATAAAATAGAAAAGAACAAAAGACAGATGCATGAAGGTCGAGGGAGGTTTTCCTCGAAAGAAAACAAAAAAAAGGAGGGGCGGTGACACACCGACTGGTGAGCGTAGGACCAAAGGCACCACCAAACCAGCCTACCAGCGCAGCTTTAACCATTTGGTTGGGTTGAGTAAATGTGGGGTTAGGTTATGATAACCCACGTGGGTTTAAGACCGTTTGAGCGAATTTTACACAAACGGTCAAATGCATGACACAAAGCTTCCCTGCTCTGCGCCCATTGCGCATTTTCCCACACCATAGATACTTCATCTAAATCATATTTAATTTACTTCAAAATGCGTTAAAAATAAAAAAATTAAAAAATTAAACTAAAACTGAGCGTGTTCGTGCTCGTATATAATAATGACCCTTCCCTTCTAATTTTCTTTAATTTCTACCAAAAAATTAAAAATAAAAATCAAGAAACCCTTTCCTTACCGCTCTCTTCTTCCATAGCTCTTTCTTGCCGCCATTGAAATCTGAGTTCTGTTTTTAGGGTTCTTCAAGTTCTTTAAAGCCCTGCGTTCTGTATTGCTTCAATCATGGCTGTTTTCGCGTTCTTAGTGTTCTTCCTTGCCATAACTGGTCGATCTTGTAAGTTTCCACATGGGTTTTTTTTTCTTGAGATTTCCCTTATGGGTTTTCATTGATTTTGGTTTTCGATTGCGTTTCAGATGCCAACTATTGCTTGTGTAGAGATGGGGTAAGCCAGCAAGTCCTTCAAAAGGCAATAGACTACGCCTGTGGAGCTGGAGCTGACTGTTCTCCAATCCTCACCAATGGCGCTTGTTTTCAGCCCAACACCGTCAAAGATCACTGCAACTACGCCGTCAACAGCTATTTCCAGCGGAAGGGACAAGTCCAAGGAAGCTGCGACTTCGGCGGCGCCGCCACGCCCAGCGTTACCCTCACCGCCAGTAAGCCGGACCCTCGAAATTACCCTCTTGTCCTGTTTTACACCCGTTATTGTCCACTGATTTCATCTTCTTCCTTGTGAATTTTCTACAGCCGTGCCCTCTGGTTGCGTCTATCCTTCTAGCCCCAGGTACCATTTCCAAGCCTGATACCAAATTTGTCCTTGTTGCTTTCAGATTCAATTATATTTGGCAATTTTTTCTTAATTGAAGCCATCGATTTCTCTGTTCTTCAATGTCGCCATTTTTTACTAATACCAGAGACTTGTCGGTGCTGGGTTTGCGTTTCAATGCTTTTGGAGATATCATTTGATTTTCTTAATTTTTAAATATTTTTTGGGTAATGGAGTTATGATTAGATCTAGTGAGAGCATCATATGAACTGACCTGAACCACTCTGTTTGGTGCCGTGAGCTGTCCATGATGATGATTTTTTTTTTTTCTCTACTATCCTTGTCGTCTTGTTCTCCAGATCTTCCGATTTCTTTCCATCTGTATCGACATGTCGTTTATTTTATTGCCGGTTTTTGTTGTATTTAAGCAATGCGGGAACAACACCGACGAGCCCCAGTGGAACTACGCCGACGATGACTCCACCGGGGATGCCGACGATGACTCCACCAGGGACGCCGTCGTCAACGAGTCCAGGAATGACGCCGTCGGTGTTCAACAACGGAATCAGCCCGAGTGGTAGCGGCGGTTTCAACGACGGTAGCGGCAGCGTGGGTTTCAGTGATAATAGGAACTTGTTTTTGGCTGTGGGCTCAACTCTGTGGTTAGCCGTAGTGTTTCTCTGGGGATGATGAAAATGGCGGATCGGGTGGTGGATCTCGATGAATGGTTGAGATTTTGCCACGTACTATTTGGGGAAGGGTGGGAGTTACTTTTGACCATTGGCTGTGGAAGGAAGAATCTAGAGAAGAGAGTTTTTTTTTTTTTTTTTTTTTTTTTTTTTTTTTTTTTTTTTTTTTTTTTTTTTTTTTTTTTTTTTTNAGAGGGGAAGTTCGATTTAAGAATCTTTGGGTGTTAATGATGGTGTTGTAAATTTTAAGAGATTTATTTTCTAATTTGTGTTGGTGTAACATTCTCCATTCCTTTCCCCCCCTCTTAAATTAGTTGGAATAATGCTTGCATTTAATAATTTTAAATTTTATATAGTCCTTTTAATAATTCTAATTATTTTAAAATTTATCACTATAATAATTTTAAATATTATATAGTCCTTTTAATAATTCTAATGTTTTAAAAATTAGCATCTTTTATTAATTCTAATATTTTAAATTTTTTGTGGTGATTTAGTTTCGAAAAAGGTCTTTGTTCAAATCTGGGATGAACTTTGTCTCGCCAAGTAAAGGAGCGTTGCTCGTGCAATTGTGGGTTACTGCGACTACAGGTTGGGGGCTTAGTACGGGTGTATCTATGCCAGGAGAAGGAGCTTTGCTCTTACAATTGGGTTATTGCCACGGTTGGGGTATATAGCAACGTTTTGAATTTGCAAGTACGACATCAAAAAAGTTTGATGGCATTTGTCGTACCTACTTGCCAAAAGATTAATTGATTTAGATTTATCTTTATCTTCTCTTATTGTGAATGTTAACACTGTTATTGTGAGATTTTACACTGGTTGGTGATGAGAACGAAACATTTCTTATAAATATGTGGAAACTTTTCCCTAATAGAACGTGTTTTAAAATTATGAGATTGTCGGTTATACATAACTGGGCAAAGTGAATAACATTTATTAGCGGTGTATTTGAGCTGTTACTAATAGTATTAGAGTCAGACATTATACAAGTTAATCTCTCATTACTAAACATATTTTAAAACCATGAGGCTAACGACGGCGTGTAACGGGTCAAAGTAAACAATATCGACTAGCAGGGAGCTTGGACTAAGTTTGATATGCTAGTACTAAAAACATCAGACGTGTGTAAGAGTGTGGAAACCTCTCCTCAGTAGACGTGTTATTAAACCATGAGGCTCACGACGATACGTAACAAACAAAAGTGGACAATATATGCTAACGGTCGATAAATATTCAATATTAATTATTAACGACGAGATTTATTATCATTTTTCACATGCCGCCGAAAATTTCGAGTGGGTGCAAATTCTCCCAATTTATGACTTACCATGTGATCGATTATATAAATAGGCAAATGGTCCCTTCCATTCCATTATGAATAGCAATAGCATGCCGAATCATTGTAGGGATAAATGGTAGACACTCAGGACCAAGTTCTGTTTCTCCGTTTGTGGTGAAGCTTTTTTTTTTTTTTTTTTTAATAAATGGTTCCCTCCTAATATATATATATATATAGGTAATTGGTGTATTAAATTAGTAGGAAAAAAGAATAAAATTATTCTAAAAAATAAGTTTAATAACTGTATAATCATAATTATGCGGAGAATATAACTTTAATAAGTGGCTACTTAAAGAAATTTAAACTGCATGGAAATTTTGACTTAGTGTATGAAAAGTAGACCGAAAGCGACTTTCAGTGGTGTCTTGTCATTACCAGATACTCATCACTCGATATTCTATAATAATTGCGTATGGGGGACTGTGCCAGCATTTTCTTGCTCCCATTTCTGCAAGATCGGAAACTGTGACTCCATGAATCTGTCCTCGACTCCCGAACTTTTGGAAATGAGCAACTGATTCTGTTCTTGCTAGTAGCGTTCTCAAATCTACTGAGGTTCGACTTCAAGGTTTATGTTTCTAAATCTATTTGAATTCGTCTTCTGAACTTGCTCGTTTCCGATTTTTGTCGTTATTTTTCTCAGATTTGTTCCTTCGATCCTACTAAAACGTTATCCGTTCTTGAATTTGGGGATAGATTTTACCTCTTCGTGACCTTAAACTTGTAAATCGTTTGGGTTTCGTTTGAAAAATCTGTTTCTCTTGCTTCCTTCTCGTATGTCCGAGTTAGGAACCCACACGTAAATGTAATTTAGTGTTCACACTCCAACGATCTATTATCATCTGTTTTGGGACTTACGTTTTCTCTACCATTTGGAGATTTCTCGTTATCGTCACTGGTTTGTTGATTATTGTGCTTGATCTTAGATTTAAGTGTTTTCTCAATGAAGAAAAACGTTGGGACTGATTAAAACCACGGATCTCTGCAGGATTTCGCTGTTGATTGACTATATATATATAACCAGAGGGGATTCGATTGTTGGAGGTTAAAGAATGTATATGGTAGAGAGTAAAGAAGGTGCCATAGCATGTATGGTACTGTCGCTCTGCTTCTTGGGGACCTTCCCTGCACTTTTGACTCTCCTCGAACGACGGGGGCGACTTCCTCAACATACTTACCTTGATTACTCCATAACTAACTTTTTAGCTGCTGTAATCATCGCTTTCACACTTGGTGAGGTTGGAAAGAGCTCAGATGCTTCTCCAAATTTTACCCAGCAGCTTTCTCAGGTTGCTTTGATCGTTTATTTACTCTTGGTTCCATATTTAATTGCTTGTGATTAATGTCCTAACAGCCCAAGCACGAGGTTTCCACACCTTATAAACAATATTTCGTTCCTCTCTCCAACTGATGTAGGATCTCACAATCCACTCCACTTCGGAGTCCAGCGTCCTCGCTGGCACTCGTTCTTCTCTCCAATTGATGTGGGATCTCACAATCCACCCTCCTTTGGGGCCTAGCGTTCTCGCTGACACCTCGTCTAGTGTGTGACTATGATACAATTTGTAACAGCCCAAGTCCACCGCTGTTTGATATTGTCCTCTTTGGGCTTTCACTTTCAGTCTTCCCCTCAAGGTTTTAAAACGTGTCTGCTAGTGAGAGGTTTCCACACCCTTGTAAAGAATGTTTCGTTCCCCTCTCCAATCGATGCGTGATCTCACAATCCACTCCCTTTCGAGGGCCAGCGTCCTCGCTGACACTCGTTCCTCTCTCCAATCGATGTGAGATCTGGATGCTGGCTCTCGTTCTTCTCTCCAATCGACGTGAGATCTCACAAATTTGTGTAATATAAAGCTTTTCTTAGTTTATTTTCTGATCTCTCTTATACTTTCTAGTTCTGGATATATAAAGATGATCAACAAGAAACTTTCATTTGATCTATCCTACTTTTTTACCAAAGGAAGTTGATTTTATATGCGACTCTATAGTCTTAAGACCTTCCTGTGATAACGATGGTGCATGCCAAAGGAAGAAAATATTTGATTTCATTTAACTTAACCTGCTTGATGTTCATAAAACGAGTATGAAGGGCATCTGCAGTTATATTTGTGCAAGAATGATGAAAGTTTGGAGGCAATGAGTAATTTTATTCATGTTGTAATTGGTGCTGATTCTTCTTGTATGCAGGATAATTGGCCTTCTGTCATGTTTGCGATGGCGGGCGGTGTAGCATTGAGCCTCGGAAATCTTTCATCTCAATATGCTTGGGCATTTGTTGGTTTATCTGTTACAGAAGTGCTCATTTGTAGCATAATAGTAGTTATAGGTCTCCACCATCTTTGTTCCCACTCTATTTATCTCCATATGTCTTTTAAGTTGGGATATTACTCAAATATATGTGCCTGAAGTCTCATGGGAACCCTCCTCTATGTATTGCTTGATTCTTTTTCTTTTCTTTTTTTGTTAAAGGCTCAACATTGAACTACTTTCTTGATAACAAGATTAACAAAGCTGAGATCCTTTTCCCTGGCGTTGCTTGCTTTGTGATTGCGGTATGTCTTGGTTCTGCTGTTCACTCGTCCAACACGGCTGATAACAAAGCAAAGCTGAACAGTTTGTCGGCCAATTCCGATAAAGAGTTGAAGTATGTTTTCTATGTCTACCAATGTGTTTATTTTCGATATATTTCATATATTAGTCAACGTTATGATCTTATTCATATCCCCATAGTTGCCTGCCACTCAAATCCAAACCTTTGATTAGTTATTCTTAACAGCCCAAGCCCACCACTAGCAGATATTGTCCTCGGTAGACTTTTCCTTTTGGAGCCCAGCGTCCTCGCTAACACATCATCCAGTGTTTGGCCCTTTTTGACATTCAATGTCCTCGCTGGCACATCGTCCAATGTCTAGTTATGATACCATCTTAACAGCCCAAACCCACCGCTAGCATACATTGACCTCTTTGGATTTTTCCTTTCGGGGCCCGCATCCTCACACGCACTCGTTCCTCTATCCAACCGATGTGAGATCTCACGGTTATATACCTCTGGTTTTGGAAGTTATGTTTTTAAATTCTACTATAGTCGTGTTGTTGCAGTGGAAGCATTTGAACATATCCTTATGATAATGTTTAATTTCAAATCCCTTGTTACAGGCCAATAGATGTCGCTGGATTTCCAAGTAGGGGTAAAACTTCCAGAGCCATAGTTTACTACTCTCTTTGTGTTCATTCTTTGCAAGTTAAGTGAGGCTAACTTTTTGCTTTTAATTGGACTTGCATAGTTGAATCAACAGACCCGGAGAACGCTGATGGTTCGTTGCGAAAGGCCGAGGCTGGGACTGCAGATTTTCTTGTTCAGCTTGAAAACAGACGATCCATCAAGGTCTGTAATGCCACTGCAGTAACGAGCAGTTTTTGTGTGGTTGAATTCCTTATGTATCGTATTCTGATGTTGCATGATGCTGCAGGTGTTCGGTAAGGGCACAGTAATTGGACTGTGCTTAACTTTCTTTGCTGGTGTTTCCCTTTCTCTGTTCTCACCTGCATTCAATTTGGCCACAAACGATCAATGGCACACTCTAAAGAAAGGTGTGCCACACTTGGCTGTCTATACCGCATTTTTCTACTTCTCGGCCTCTTGTTTTGTCATAGCCATCGTTCTCAACATCATCTTCCTTTACCGCCCTCTACTTAACTTACCCAAAACAACGTTCAAAGCATATCTGAATGACTGGAATGGTAGAGGATGGGCCTTCTTGGCTGGATTTCTGTGTGGGTTTGGCAATGGTCTGGAGTTCATGGGCGGCCAAGCTGCTGGATATGCAGCAGCTGATTCTGTGCAGGTCAGTTTCTTCACCTCTCTATGATTGTAATATCATGACGACTCAATATTGACCGCTCCAGCTGGTCTTACAGTAAATTTAATTATATCAATACTTCAATACTTGAACACATACCATATTTTCTTGCTTCAATCTCAAATGATTGTTTCAGGCATTTCCACTCGTGAGCACGTTTTGGGGAGTTGTTCTGTTTGGAGAATACCGTCGATCGTCGAGGAGAACATACGTGTTGCTTGTCAGCATGTTGTTTATGTTTACTGCAGCTGTTGGGATCCTAATGGCTTCATCAGGACATCGAAAACCTTAGAAGAATCAGTCATAAGCGCATCGCAGCAGCAGCCAAGATTGTGTAAATTGTTCCTTCTAATGTACTGAACTTTATGTGTGCAGTTTCTGTACAATAGTATGAAATAACGGAGAAGAAATAATGTTCCCCAATGTTATGTGAGTGATTATGGTTGATAAAAAGATTGTACTATCAAGAGCAAAAAGACTCTATATATATATATATATAAAGATATTAAAATATCTATCTTAGAAAATTTGGTTTCAAACCAGTAAACAAATCAAAACTAAACCAACTCTTATAAGGAGATTTAATCCGATACTAACTGACATCAATCTAAACAAATACGTGATCTTTAACACTCTTCTTATTTAGAGGTTTAACACTCTAGAGGTTGTTAACTTCAAACTTTTTCCTAAACACCCATTTTACTCCAATTATCTTTCTATTTAGAGGTCGATTAACCAACTCCCATGTTTTGTCTTTCTCGATCATCGAAAGCTCTTTCTCTGACAGGTGCAGCAATTCAATGTTGACGATTTGTTTGCATCATGTAACCCTGCAGCTCACAAACAGCTACATTACATCTTTGATAAATATCAGACAGTAACCTTGTACCTCTCACAAGTGCATCATCAACCAAAGCATCTTGTTGTTCATCTTCAGACTCTTCTAACATGTTACCAAAGATTAAATTGTTTGGTGCATGAGAAATCTGATTCACCTTCGTCAGTTCTTCCCAATTCCATGGCTTATTTTCAGCAAAATGAACATCTCGGCTCACAATAACACGACTAATGTGTGGTTGAAAAACTCTGTAAGCTTTGGATATAGTGTTATACCCAACAAAGATGTCAGCTTCGGCCTTTTTGTCAAGCTTATCACGCTTGACCTCTGTAATGTAAGTAAAACAAAGACACCCAAATACTCTAAGAAACTTTAAAGAAGGTTTGTAACCATACCAAGCTTCAAATGGTGTCAGGTCCTTCACAGCTTTTGTTGAAATTCGATTTTGCAAGTACACAGCAGTGTTTGCTGCTTCTCCCCAAAAACGTTTTGGAAGATTCTTCTCATGAAGCATGCATCTCGTCATCTCCATTATGAATCTATTCCTCCTTTCACTGACGCCATTCTGTTGAAGAGTGTATGATTCTGTCAATTGATGTTCAATTCCAACCTCTTCACAAAATCTTTTAAAAGTTTCTGAAGTGTATTCCTTGCCATTATCTGATCTTACCGTCTGAATCAAGCATGCACTTTCATTCTCAACTCTGGCTTTGAATTTCCAAAATACATCCGCAACTTCTGACTTTTGCTTCAGCAAGATGGTCCAACACATTCTTGTTAGATCATCAATAAAAATAATGTAATAAAGATTACTATTTAATGATGGTGTTCGCTGAGGACCACAAAGCTGCAGTTTTTTTTAGGCTCTCTATGCCTGTTTAGGAAAGGGTTGCCTATGTTGCTTCCCAAAATTATAAGCACGGGAAGGAGGCATGTCATCATCAATGTCAGTGAGTCCTTCTACCAGCTTCTTTGACTGCATCTGAAGCAAACCTCGATGATGAAAGTGTCCAAGTCTTTTGTGCCAAATCTCAGTAGCACTAGCTCTGGATATAAAGGTCATCTGCTCTTTCTCCATCGGATTTAGAGCAAAGTTTTTTCCTTTCATTTTGACATTGAACAAGGCTTTGCCACTAGCATTTTTTATCAATCATTTCTCATTCTCAAACAACACTTTATAGCTTTTATCAAGTAACTGACCAGCAGATTTTGATCAATTTTAGGTACAAATAAAACATTTGGAATAAATTTTGTACCTTCATAACTTGTTATAGCTACCGTGCCTTTTCCTTTGACTGCCAAGTGTTCACCATTGCCAATCCTCACTCTCTTGACTTCAGCGTCTCTTAATTCCTCAAAAAACTCCTTGTCATATGTCATATGATTTGTGCACCCACTGTCAATCAACCAGCTCTAGCTTGATTCTTTGCCTGAGGAACAAGTGACCACAAACAATTGATCTTCTTTTTCTTGATCGACTACCTGTGCATCTACTTCTTTCACCTGTACTTGATCACAACTTCATGTCCAAGTTTAGGGTTTGCATTTAGAGCATTTGGCGTCAGGTCTTCTCCAACACTTGTATGGTGGATGACCTTTCTTCTCACAATGACGATAAGGTGGATAGGATTTTTTGAAACCTCCTCTTTTCGTCTTCTGATAATTGGTAGATGAATCTCCATTCGTTGATTTGTTTTTGAAAATTTTCTTGTTTTTATACCTGCTGTTGTCTTGATGCTTAAGAAGTTTGTTTTTATACTTGTGTTGTCTTGATACTTAAGAGGTTTGTTTTTATACCTGTGTTGTCTTATGCTTAAGAGGTTTGTTTTTATACCTACTGGTGTCTTGATTCTTAAGCCACCTTCAATCACCCCTTCTTACCTCATAGACCTCCTTTGCTCTTGTACTTGTCTTTGGTGTTCTCCAAATAGTAATGGTGGCTTCAAACTTCTTTATAACAGTGATCAGTAACTTTTCAACGATCTTGGAATCATTTAACACAGAACCAAGCAATCTCACCTTGTTGGCAATGCTGAGAAGATCATTTGAGATATAGGTGCAAATAGACAAGCTTTGCCTTTGATTTTTTCTGTCTTTTTTTTTCTTCTGCTTTGATTTGTGCTACATTAGAATTTCCTGGAAGTGGAGGGACCTCGTAATCCTCTTCCACTGCTTCCCAAAGATCCAAATCCTCCAGATTAGTCTCCATACGAACTGCCCAAATTTAATAATGGCCTCCATCGAAGTCTGGTGGTGCAACCACTGAAAAATTGGATTCTCCTTCCATACTGATCTCACAGAAGAAAACGACTCTGATACCAATTTGTAGGTGAAAGAGTGAATGATGGAATGGTTGACATGTAAAGGAAGAAAACTCCATAAAGAAATATTAAAATATCTATCTAAATATCTAGAGAAAATCTGGTTTGTGAGTAAACCAATGAATCAAATCAAAACTAAATAACTCTAATTCTGTAAATTTAATAGACAGAAATCTAAATAAAAACGTCGTTTTTAACAAATATAAATAAAGATTTTAAAAAAATGAAATTAAATATTTGGTTAAAATAGGTAGATTATAAAATATTATTTTATTTTATTTAATTAATTAAACAATAGTTAATAACTATTTTATTAATAATGTAAATGAAATAACTAAATACTTCAAATTTTTTAGAACTAAATTAATTTGTTAATTAGATTTGGTTAATTGAAAAGTGTAAAGTTGCTTCTTGTTTTTAAACTTTAAAATATTCTATTTTAATTTTTGATATTAAAAAAAAAAAAGAACCGTTAATTCTCATATTTATTTTGATATTAACGTTTTGAATTTTAGGGATCAAAATAAATATTTTAAAAATTTGGAGATAGAAAATAGAATTAAAAAGATTAGGAAAGATTTAGGCTGAATTAAATTGGGTTAAATCATATTTTTTAAGATTAGTTTATTATTAGGTCTATATGGCCAAGCCTTGTAATTAAATTACTGATTCGCACACTTCAATTGAGTTTTTTTGGAGTTTGAGATGTTCAAATCGTGTTCATCTTTCGGATTTACTGGCTTCCCACACTGTGAAGCCTCTAGTTTTTTCCGATTTTGTTGGAACTGTTTCGTTAAGAACATCACTCATTTCCGACTGTGGGGTAAGAGTTTCTCTGTTTGGAAGCTTGAGCTTGGAACTGAGTTGGATCTTTTCGAAATGTTGTTTTCTCTTTCTTCCATCTTGTATCCCCGAGTTTGGAATCCTTTTGCGAATTTAACCTGGATTCAGACTCCAGCGATTTAAAGGTTCCTATGCGTTATCTTATCTGGGGATTATGTTATATTGTTTATACAGTTGTTGAAATTGAAACCCGGATTCAATTTACTTCAAATTTCATTGTTCTTAGGTTTTTTTTTGCTACGATTTGGTATAATTCTCGTTGTGTCACTGTTTGACTTGATCTCGCATGTTTTCTCATTGATGGAAATGGGTATTGATCAATCATCATTCTGTGCAGAATTTCTTTGGTATTTGATAATCGCTCACCATATTACCAGAGTGGGCTTGGATTCTTGTAAGTTGAAAGATGTATATGGTGGAGAGTAAAGCAGGTGCTATAGCATGTATGATGTTGTCGCTCTTCTTTCTGGGGACCTTCCCTGCACTCTTGACACTTGTTGAACGGCGGGGGCGTCTTCCTCAGCATACTTACCTTGATTACTCCATAACAAATTTTTTAGCTGCTGTAATCATTGCTTTGACTCTTGGTGAGATTGGAAAGAGCTCACAAGACAGTCCGAATTTTATCCAACAGCTGTCTCAGGTTGCTTTCATTTATTTACTCTCGAATTTTCATTCAGCTTCATTGGTTTGGTTCCATATAGACTGATAAGACACTTCCAAGATCTGTCGGCTATTCTCTTGCCTCAGGATCTTCTGATTTGAGATGTTAGTGTGAGATCCTATATTGATTGGAGAGGGAAATAAAACATTCCTTGTAAAGGTGTGGAAACCTCTCTCTAGTAGACACGTTTTAAAACTGTGAGGTTGACGGCGATACGTAGCAGGCCTAAACAGACAATATCTACTAGCGGTGGGCTTGGGTTGTTACAAATGATATCAGAGCCAAACACCAAACGGTGTGCCAGCGAGGACGCTGGCCCCCAAGGGGGTGGATTGTGAGATCCCACATCAGTTGGAGAAGAGAACGAAACATTTCTTATAAGGGTGTGGAAACCTCTCTCTAGTAGACGCGTTTTAAAATAGTGAGATTGACGGCAATACGTAACGGGCCAAAACGGACAATATCTCCTAGCGTTGGGTGTAGGCCGTTATAGTTACCCATAATCTCTAGAACTACCTGTGGTAGAAATGATGTGCACCGAAGAAAGAAAAGATTTGATCCCAGTTAACTTGATATATCCAGCGTTCATAAAACAAATATGAAGCGTTTTTACAAGTAAAGTTGTAAAGAAATTGTGGGCAAAGTATCATTTGTAGCCATGATTATCACTGTCTTGTGTAAACTAAACTTGGTTGCATTCCTTGTTAATCATACGTCCTTCATTTAGGTTGAGCTTCATGTTATCTTATGAATTCTTGAAACATGCAACTTTTTCTGAAGAGAATTAAGATGTTCCTCTCAGTCTTTCTATATTGCAATCCCCAATTTGCTTGCAGATTTTGTGGTAATGAGTAATGCATTCATGTTAAATCATGTTGTAAAAGGTATCTAACCTTCTAAACGACTGTATTCAGGATAATTTGCCTTCTGTTATGTTTGCTATGGCTGGTGGCGTGGCACTGAGTATCGGAAATCTCTTAGCTCAGTATGCTTGGGCGTTTGTTGGTTTATCTGTGACAAAAGTGATTTCTTGTAGCATAGTGGTAGTTATAGGTCTCTATCTCTATCTCAGCTGCATTCTGCCCCTTACTAAATTAACCAATCTGTTGTTGTTTTGTTACTCAATATGTGTATGAAGTTTTATGAGATTCACCCTTCTGGTTTTGTTTTTGTTTTTGGGTAAAAGGAACGACTGTGAATTACTTTCTTGATAACAAGATTAACAAAGCCGAGATTCTTTTCCCTGGGGTTGCTTGTTTCTTGGTTGCTGCATTTCTTGGCTCTGTTGTTCACTCATCCAACATGGTCGATAACAAAGTAAAGTTGAAAAGTTCATCTGCTGATTCTGAACAGTCCATGTATGTTTTCTTTTTGTATGAATGTGCTAATCCGCAGGACATTTTCTTGTTTAGTTCATGTTATGGGCCCTTGAATCCAAATTTGTGATTGTTTTATATGCATTTGGTCGTTTTCGAAGCTGTGTTTTTGAATTTCGCTTCAGTAGTGTTCCGATATTAACTTCCAATTCTGTTTCGACAGGGAAACGAAAACCTCTCTAATTTTGAATATGGGTAAATCTTCTTGAGCTATGAAGTGTACAACTTACTTTCTGTTCATTCTTTGCAAGTGATATAACTGCTGAATTCTTTTGGTTGTGTATAGTTGAACGAACGAACCTAGAAAGTGCTGCATATTCTTCACGAAAGGCGAAGGCTGGGACAGCCGACTTTCTTGTTCAACTCGAAAATAGAAGATCCATCAAGGTCTGTAATACTGATATTGTAGCATTCCTCAAATATTGCTTCGCTTTCTCTTTTATTCTTACATGTACCTAGTGGCTGCATACTTGCAGGTGTTTGGTAAGAGCACACTGATTGGGCTGTGCTTAACTTTCTTTTCTGGTATTTCCATTTCTCTCTTCTCCCCATTATTCAATTTGGCCACAAATGATCAATGGCACACTCTAAAGGAAGGCGTCCCGCATTTGACCGTCTACACCGCATTTTTCTACCTCTCTGCCTCGTGTTTTTTCATTGGCGTCATTCTAAATGTCGTCTTCTTTTACCGCCCTATGCTTAATTTGCCCAAGACAACTTTCAAGGAATATCTAAATGACTGGAATGGTAGAGGATGGGCCTTGTTGGCTGGAGTCTTGTGTGGGTTTGGCAATGGTCTGGAGTTTATGGGCGGTCAAGCAGCTGGATATGCAGCATCAGCTTCTGTGCAGGTCAATTTTTTTCACCTCTTTTGACTGCACTCCAATTCCATATTAACTCCATACTGATAGCTCCTTGTTTCAATCTCGGATTGGACGGTTGTTCCAGGCGCTTCCACTTGTGAGCACGTTTTGGGGAATTGTTCTGTTTGGAGAATACCATAGATCGTCGAGGAAAACATACATGTTACTTGTCAGCACCTTGGTTATGTTTACAGTAGCTGTTGGGGCCCTAATGGCTTCATCAGGACATCGACATCGACATCGAAATCAGGCTAGGACTGCAACCTTTTAAAGGAAATGATAGCTTCTGGTGGCTGCTCTGTGTTGTCATTCCATTCTATGGAGGTCAGCTTCTCGCATGTCAGCATGTTGCTTATGTTCACAGTGGCTGTTGCGGTCCTCATGGCTTCATCAGGACATAGACATTGGAAAATCATTAGGGAAAGCTTGTAAAAGCTCAGCCCTTCATGCCAATTAGAAATGAATCACATAATGTTGAAGCTTCTTGTACTGTTGTAGAGGAATAAGTAATGTTGGAAGAATGAATTCCATTGTTAATGACTGTAATTTGAGGAACATCTGCGCCGAAAGTTGTAGCTTCTGAAAGTCGAAACACTCGACTTCATTGGTGGATGATATCTTGAATGTAGCTATCAATCGTTCGGATGTGATTTAATAAAAGATTTGAACTTCTAAGTTCTCAGTTGAGTATTTACAGTGATATTAGTAATTCCGTTTAAGTTTAGATCATTCACATTAGTTAGACCTATAGATGAGCGATGAGACAAGATGAATTCGACTTGAAAAAGACATTTAAATTACTTAATCGAATGACTATTCTCCACTGCACCAACAAATTTTGAACTAGGAAAAAAAAACAGTAGAGGGTAGACTTTGACCAAGGTAAATGACGTGGCATTCCAGCTAGAGTGGGGAAAGGGCCGTACTAATCGTACACATCAGCATTAGTGGGCCAGCCGAAGGGAGCAGTTAAGGTTGGCGCGAAACGGAGCCATTGTTCGTTACTAATGGAAACTGAAAGCCGCGAGACTGTCGGAGCGCCTTCCATCTTTTATATTCTTTCTTCGCCCTCTCTGAAACCCTAATTTTTGGTTTCGCCCTTTTTCTTTTTCTCCGATTTGTTTTTGCTGTTTGTTTTTTTTCTTGTTTTCTCCTTCCAATGAAAGACAACGAATCTTGGAAGTCGGTTCCTGCATTGTTGTGCCTGCCGGGAACGGATTTCCGGGTATTAACGAAACTAATCTTTCTCTGTGTTCTTTTCTTTTGCCTAGATATTTTTGTTCGATGGTTCTTGCTTCTTGACGTTGATCTTTAATTTAACACAGGTTAAATCTCCATGGCTTTCGAGGATTTTTGTCGTCGGTGTCGCTTCCGGCGAGATTTAGCGGCAGTGGTTAGGTTTTGGAGTTAATTGGAACGCAAGGGGTTGCTTCTTGCGTGTTCCGATCCAAGTGAGTTTCTTATGAACTTCGGTTTTGTTTAGCTGATGATGCATGTCCATTTTAAAAAAACAACAGTGTTCATTGCTGAAAAGGGCTATGTTTCGTTAATCCTCACGTTTGTCGTTAACGATTGATTGATCGACTCCCCGTGTTTTCTCCTTCCTTTTTTCAGTTTTTTTTCCCCCGAGAAGGGAAGAACCTATTCCATTTATTCTGTTGTTTTCTTAAAAACTTATGCAGAACAGCATATTGCAAGCCATATAGTCTCTAATTATATAGCTATTGAATTGTCTAAAGGAGCAAAAGCTGCATTCATGGTTCTTATAAAAAGTCCTGTTGCTCCTGATAGAAGCCAAAGCAACTCACATTTAGAAACGGATTCAGGATCTATTGGTGGAAGTGGGAGAAAGCTTGAAACTATTGAAGAAGGCGAGAACAATAGAATATATGGCAGCGACGGGTAGATGTGAAGATACCGCTGGGGAAGGATTAGGCAGTACACATTCTGAAGATACTGCTGGGGAAGGATTTTCACTTTCCCCAACAGAGCAGCTGGCGTATGGGTCTTCATCATGTATAAACTTGTTGGAATTATCAGATCTCGTTCAAGTTGGCGAAAATGTTAACCGACCCGAAGCAGGCACAATTTTCTTGGGAAATCCCGATCATGATGTTTACCAGCTTCAATTTAAAGATGATGAGAGCGATGTTTCCAGCATTTGTTCTGCCAAATCAGAGAAGAGTAGCGGTTCTCAAGGTCCCACATCTGCATCTCAAGTTTATGATATTACCCATGAGTCTGGTGGAAATGCTATGTCTCCAACCCAATCCCCTCCTCTTCAGACAATGGATCGTGTGGGAGGATATGAATCATATGATCCGTCAAGAATTCCGTCTGCAGTTTTCCAAAGAAGTAGATCAACCACTCCATTGGAATGGAGTATTGCTTCAAATGAGTCCTTGTTTAGCATTCATGGTGGAGATGATAGTTTCTCCGGAGATAATTTGTCGATGTTGAGTGATTTAGGGAAGTCAGACGAGTTGCTTGTGTTTAACTCACCACCTGAAGTTATCACGTCAAGAGAAACTGAAATGAAGAGTGTCGAATACGAAGAGGAGCCTAAAGTGGCAGATAGCACAGAATATAACATTGAGGATAAAGAGGGTTTGGTTGCAGAAGATCTAAGTGGAAGAAACGTACTGCCTCCTGCATTATCATCGAATTCCTCTAGCAGATCTCGCCACTCTGAAAGAAGTCAATGCAGCTCAAATTCCTTCGCTTTCCCCATGTAAGTCTTTGCTCATTATCTATTTGCTAAAAAATCATTCTTGGAATTCATGTTTTCCAACTTCATGCTTACTGTCACTTCACTATGGCAACTTGTTAAAACATTAGGTTCTCGACCAAAAGGTCAGAGTTTCAAATTCTTATGCCTACTCGTTGAACTCAAAGAAGAAAAAAAAATTTGCTTGCTTTCGATTATTCTACAAAGGAACAGGCCTTCCCAGTGATACCAGTTCATAATGCCTTGGCCTTCTGCCTGCTTAATAGTCATCATGTGGTTTGCTTTTAGACTACTGTCTCTTCTCGTTTTTTCACACCTAACGAGCACAAAGATAGTCATCATGTGGTTTCTTCTTAGCCTTCTGCCTGCTTACCAGTTCAACATGCTAACTATAGCAACTGGTTAAGGCATTAAATTCTTGACCAAAAGGTAAGAGTTTGAAACTCTTTAGCCCTACCGGTTGAACTCAAAGGTGGGGGGAAAAAAAAAAGAAGAAAAAAATTGCTTTAGATTATTCTACCAAGGAATTGACCTTCCACGTGAATACCAGTTCATAATGCCTTCTCTTAGCCTTCTGCCTGCTTAATAGACATCATCTGGTTTCCTTTTAGGCTAGTATCTATTGTCGTTGTGCGTCCAAGAAGTACATTTTCTTTCAAGCTCCTTATCTTTTCTTCATGAATTTATTACAGAGATCTTAACTTACCAATTCTATGAGGTCGATGTCTCTTTGTTAGATCATTATCATCTGGAAACTACGTTGATATTGTCAAAAGAAAGTATAAGCATGAAATTAACCAGTACTCATTATCTGCAGTTTGGCCGATGAGGTGGCTCAGGATGGATCTGTGCTTGCGGATGATAAAATAGAAGGTGCTCCAGTCTCTACAAAATCTAATGCAAACTCTTGGTTTCCCTGCTGTTCATGTTCTTGTTACAAATGGAATTGCTATTCACGTTCTTGTTGCAAATGGACTTGCTGTTCATGTTCGTCTTGTTGCACATGGAACTGCTATAGTTGTAATTTTCGTCCTCACTGTCATTTTTGTCCTCGATGCCGTATTTTCTACCCTTGCCATTTTTGTCGTGGTTAAGTGGACAATGTCGCAGAAAAGACAAGTGTCTATGAATATTTTCTTGATTGTTCATATTAGTCTGTTTAGGCATATAGAAACAGGGTGAGTGATAAATGTAACATATTGAATCCCCCTCATTCAGGGAGGGCTTCACACAAACAGACTCATTCCTAGCAGTTTAAGTTATGGTTTTGATCCATAAAATCTCCAGCTGAGAGCCATTCAAAAATCTCTTTCAAGACATGACTCACTCTACAAGGTAAAGAAGATAATGAAGGTATTTAACAAAGGATCTCTTTACTTAAAAACACTAAGTTCTCTATGTTTCCTATTTGAAAGCTCCCCAAATGTTTGATGGGGTTGACCGACAAGGTTGGTGGCCACACACCATCACGAAAAGGAACCAGAATTGGGATTGACAACTATATGTCTTAGTGGGTGAGCCACATTTTTCCCACCAGCATGCTTCACAAACTCTGCTGGCGACAGGAACTTCCCATGGCATACACACATTATCCTCACTTCCTCCCCTTTCCCATACTTGTAAAGAATCCCTTCCACCCTTCTCCCATCAGGCCCATCCCCTACTGTGAACACACAAGGCATGTCTTCCATCGACGACGTCCCCGTTTCTCTCCCCCTGTTCTCGCCCAAATCGGGCTTCTTTTTCGTCTCTACTTTGGAACTGCCTGATGGATTCTCACACGTCTTCGATCCTGAAGAACCTCCAGCCTCTTGGTTGCCTTGCTCTTGCGAGGAGCTTCTTGCTTCGCCGTAGCTGCTTGATCCTGCAAGAAGATGAACAGCAGTTTACAAATAATGCAAATAATCCCTTCAGAATGTATTCGCTCTGAATAGCATTGACAACTTAACTATCCTGAACAAACTTGAATTTAAGCAAACCTAAAACATAGTACTGATAAAGGGAGGACAATGGCCAACTTCATTGTAAGCGATCCAACTTCACTCACTAGCTACAACAGTTCACAATGGTCTTCAAAGATATTATCCAAAAACCCAACGAAATCCCTTGTTTTCCTATTATTTGAAACTAATCAAATCTAAGACACTAAGTAAACAAGGCCCGAATCCCCATATATACACATCGACAGTGCAATAAACTCGTAAGCAGTAACCTTGGTGACCCCGTAAAGAAGTTTCGTAGCAGCTCAAGCTCATCCCTAGTGGTTATTGTCTTCTTTGAGCTTTCCCTACTCCAACCGATGTGGGATCTCACAAGTATGCAACTTTTTCCAAGCACCAAAAGCTCGCTAAGTCAAATACAATCTCATGAATTGCCTTACGAACAAGACTTAAACAGTATTGGTGGAAGGAGAGAGTTTCATTGTTCAGGAATACAGAACTTGATATGCTTAAATGATCTCTTACTTTCTTGCAAAATAGGCCAATATTGCTGTAATGTTTACTGTACCACCTCTTAATCTTAGTCCATTTGTCACATTTCAATATTTACTATATAAGACTTCCTTATCACTCCTGCTTTTGGCTATCAAATTCGACGCCGATCGCTCCATCTAGTCATCACCAGAAATCATTTTGATTCAAAACTGTTGGTCAAACCTGAGTCAGAAGCTCTAGCTAAAGGTATCAACTAACTACTTGTGCATATTACATAGCTTAGGCGCTGAGAAAAAAAAAAAAAAAAAAAAAAAAAAAAAA